ATTCCTACTGATTGTGGATAACAATCCACTGATGTGATTTGGTGACAAAACTAATAAAATCCAAAATTATAAAGTTGAACCTCACATTACAAATGAACATGAACCATTTGAATCATTTAAAACTCTGATTCCCTTCCTACGTTTCATCATATGTCTCATCTTGATCACACCATTGGGATGAATTTTAGAATTTAATAGTACCTGTTAATCTTCCTGTTTGGCTTTAGTCACTCCTCGCGTAAAGTGAGTGGAATGCTGAAGTGGCTGGCGGAAGTAATTCGCTGGGAATTTTTCTGCTGGAAAATGATTAGGACTGCATACTGTCGGTTCTTTCCTGGTGCTAGTTAGGCCTCGGCGACTCTGTGTTTCATGTATGAAACGAATCAAAACGATGTTACCAAAAAGTATGGAGCCACCATGTCGCCCTCTGGTCGTTTTGAGAGGATGGGAAGAAACCACTGTAACGTTATTCCTGATTTCATCAGCACACTTTCCTTTTGTAGAGAGAAAAAAAAGCGACTCGAGTAATATAATTAGCGATAAATGTAATAAGTCCAAACAAAGCTTTCGAATTAAGTACACGTCGTCGTTGTCTTTATATTGCGTTGCTTAATCCTCGATCGCCTCTTTCCTTCCGAGTGCCTTCTTCCTCAGTCTTCTCGTGTTGGTCTCTTCGTTTTGGCCGCTGCGTCCAAGAATGTCCTATTCAATGAAATGCGAGGCACCCCGTGGCCCTTCAAAAAATGAAAATAAAGTAACTAAATTCGACTTGGTTATCTCTCCGGATGAGCATATAACCCATCCATCAGTTCAAATGTGACTGTGCCAGAATAGGAGGCGGTGTGAATTCAACATAAACAACAGCCTAGGCTATTTGTTTTTTTTAAATAATTCAAATAATGTGCGCTGACTATGCTGTCAATTCAGTCCCATATGAAATCATTCGGTCTGCACCAGAAACACGTAGCATCACATATGCGCGATTCAACCACACCCATTTTATTGCGAATGTACCACTGCAGCGCAGACCTCCACCGCGGTGCCAAACAGCGGCTCAGGGGGGTGAACAGCACCTCACACTGGAACACACTTGAGTTTAGGCCTCTAAAGCAAAATGTCAGTTCTTTCTGAAAATGTAGATCTCAATTTGAATGTTTGTAGAAATTGACAAATAAATGGCTTGAAAAAATAGTGACATTGTGCAGAATTCCCCCTACGCGGTGCTCAGTGACTTCATGAATGCGCTCCTGAGCAGAGTGTTGCCAGATCGCGGAGGGTAAAAAAAAAAAATAAGCGACTTCCCCTAAAAGACATGGTGGAGCTAAGAGAGGGGAACAAACTATGAAAGATAGTAGGCTATGGCTCCAACCCTCCAATCGTTGGGTGGAGGCTATTTGGAAGTGCGATTAGAGTCAGTAAAAATACGCGGACATGGCAACACAGTCTGAGCGCAACCCGTACGTCATATGAAGCCTGGAGTTCAAAAGATTGCGTAGCCTATGCTTTTAACTTATTTTATAATCAATTTATTTCCAATATAGTAAATACACATCCAAAAATGCCTCCACGCCATCATTTTCCCAAACAGTTTTTTATAACCCAGATAAGTTAACCAACCTGACACTTTCTCAAATTACTTCGAGCTGTAATTAAAATTCCCCTGTAAAGGCATTCAGTAATGCAATGCGCCCTTTCTCTCTAGAGACAAAAAGCTGCCACCCACCGGAGACACACTCCTAATTACACCTGTTATAATTACCCGTCGAAGGGAGGGGCATAGACATGTTATAGTCTATGTGTACTTGCTGATTGGTCCGTATTAAAAGAAAAGTGCGCTCCGATTTTTTGTGAATGCTATAATACATTGATTGTTAAAAGTTCATTTTTTTTTTTTTATTTACATATACAAATGAGCACCCTTTAAACTGCAACACACATTATTGAGTAGGGCAGCAAAATGTGGTTTGCATCCCTCCCCTCACCAAATGTAGTGATGGTACATTCCACCTGGCCTTACTCCCCATAAGGTACTGTCTGTAGTAGCTGTGGATGGGTTGCCCAGCAACACCATTTCCAGAGAACCAAGCATGCAGTAGGCTATGTGGTTGGATGGACATGAACTGTTCTGCATTAATCCTCCACATATATATTCATAGCAACTTAGTTAGGTCACGTAATATCTTACCCAGTCTACAATAGAGTTAAATTCATAACCATGTATAGAACATTTTGAAATTTAAAATCTTTAAACATGCTTCTCTCTGGCAACAGGCTATGATTCTGGAGAAGATGAGTGTGATCACACTCCTCTCTACATGGCCTAAACAAGGCTCTAGGCTCAGATTCATAGATGGCAGAGAAAGAGGGAGGTTCAGACCAGAATTTAGAGCAACAAAATTAGATCTAAAAATAAGAGTTTTTCCATTGTAGAGTGTTATTCCATTTGTCGACCTCTAGAGCTCGCTATTGCTCTTTCTTACAGCATGCTGAGGGAAAATGCTGTCCAAATGAGAACTAGTTGAACAAATGACAATTATAAGTCAAACTATGTTTTAAATAATAATAAGAACAATTAGCCTATAGTTAATAGTTCATTTCCAAATATCAAAACATGAAATCAAATGGACAGGATTCTATATGAAACTTTTGTTATTTTAAGAAGTTGTCATTTGATCTTTAACCCAACAACGCTGGAATTAACTAAAAGTGATTTATCTACTGTTCTGCTTCAAGGTCCCTCTAATATTTAATGTATGGAAGAGAGAGGCCGCACTTTGCATATACAGTTTTATTATACACAAACGCGTTTCGGCGCGTGCCTTCTTCAGTGTGCAAAAGAACAATACCTTATCCAGTCTTAAATGCCCACACCAGTTAACACACCCATAATCACATCAACCAATGATTTAGAATGATGCACGTGTTACCAATGAATCCATTAATGACAGACAAATACACATAATTAGATAGGCTACAATATGTAATACAATTCTCATAGTATATTTTAAAGAAAACAGCTTAAAGATATATCCTCGTTCATACCATTGGGAATGCATGTGTTGAAATTAAAAATATACCAAGCCTCCCTTTGGGGGAAAATCTATATGCTTAGATTTATGGGTCTGGAGTGTGTTGGTCGGTCTTCAAGAGGGGGAGACCGTGAGAACCGCCTCCTCCAAAGGGAGGCTTGGTATATTTTTAATTTCAACACATGCATTCCCAATGGTATGAACGAGGATCTATCTTTAAGCTGTTTTCTTTAAAATATACTATGAGAATTGTATTACATATTGTAGCCTATCTAATTATGTGTATTTGTCTGTCATTAATGGATTCATTGGTAACACGTGCATCATTCTAAATCATTGGTTGATGTGATTATGGGTGTGTTAACTGGTGTGGGCATTTAAGACTGGATAAGGTATTGTTCTTTTGCACACTGAAGAAGGCACGCGCCGAAACGCGTTTGTGTATAATAAAACTGTATATGCAAAGTGCGGCCTCTCTCTTCCATACATGCATTGTCATTATTAGGCCAGCACTCTTAAAACAATTTGAGATATAAACTTTGAGTGAAGCCTGCTCCAACCTCCATTTATTCCCTCTAATATTTAACCCTGATGTGTGTTTAATCAAACAACATCCTGCAATATAAGGTCATAAGACAGCATTTACAAAACCTTAAACTGTGTCTCAATTTATGCAAAACATCAGTTTTCAATGCACCAAATTTACATATTGTATAGATGTGTTTTTTAGACAGGTAGTTGTGTGTGTATATATATATATATATAATTCACAGAAAGCTACTCAGAGATAAGTAATTCACTTCCCCTTTGTTGCCATGATGAACTTGATTCTCTGTATGGAGACCACATCATGGAGCATTGATGATGATCATTCCAATTACATCATTCCAATTTTTTATTAAAATAACAAATACATTCATTCTTATATGGATCCACTTTTATATTCAAACATGTATTTAAGAATATATCTATAGTACTGTGCAATAGTCTTAGGCACGCACATTAGCATTTTCACCAGAAAAAAAAAAAAAGGTTTTAATGCAGTTATTTATATCTTGCTGTATCAGAAGGAAATATCATTTTAAATTTCTAAACATTTCTTTTTCAATTATTTGTAATAATCCAGAGAGATTTTTGTATGTACAAGGAGTCTGCCAACAGCCGATGTGATCCACAGGAAGATCTGATCTTAAGATCCAGAAAAAAGAGGACGATTCTGGACCCACACACTTTGGGGGCATCCAGAGACTATTTCTATTTTATTAATAGAAAGGGGACCCAACCTCATTCTTTCATTGGGTACAAAATTGCTAGCGGCACCCCTGCTAATCACCGACAGACTCAATGATGGTGAGATCAGATCTCTGTGTGGAGCATAGCCTACAGGCTGTTGTCTTGCCAGACTCCCTGTGCATAAAAAAAATCTCACTGGATTATTACAATTGGCTTTATGCCCAGCTGCACTACTTCCTGAACTTCAGCCAGCTCCTTGTTTCCTGTCTGCCATTATTGGCCAAATTGATTAATTCGGGTGTGTCTGATTATTGTTGCCATGACTACTGAGGTCAAGCACACCTGTTAATCAATTTGACCAATAATGGCAGACAGGAAACAAGGAGCTGGCTGAAGTTCAGGAAGTAGTGCAGCTGGGCATAAAGCCCATTAATAACATAAATGTTTGGAAATGTAAACTGATATTTCCTACTGACACACTCAGATATAAATAACTTTAAAGACATTTTTTTTCTGGTGAAAATACTAAGATAGCCTTTTTGACGTAAATGTTTGTAGATATAAGACGTAAATGTTTGGAAATATAAACTGATATTTCCTACTGACACACTCCGATATAAATTACTTTAAAGACATTTTTTTCTGGTGAAAATACTAACTCTCCTAAGGTATTTTCACAGTAGCTATGAAAACTACAAATCCCAGGCTGCTGTTGACGTCATTATTCCTCGACACTAGGCTACTTCAGATGATGGCAGAGCGCGACAGCTTGAGCAAGATTTACAAAACACTTTAGGTTTTCTGTGCTTTAACATTGTAACCAGGCAACGTATAAAAGTAACGTTACTGGTAATGGAAGCGAGGCCGTAAACTATTCTATTCTAGCCCTCGGTTACATAGCTTAAGGCAGAAACCCAAACCATCTCTTTTGAGCTCTGCAATCACGTATGTAACATTACATCTTACAGTGAATTACTGCCGTGGATCAGAATAACCATGACTTTGAGCATGGACATCAGCGTTTCTTTTCTCAAGTGCGAACTCGCCTCCACTATCGACCATGCGGTACGAAGCGCAGTAGAATCAGTGTTGAAGGAAACAGCGCGAGTTGTTGGCATAAAGCTGGCCGCGGCTCGTAATGCTGCCGCAGAGTCGCACAGAGAGAACCAGAGCCTGCGCGAGAGACTGGAGATCTCCGAGAGCGAGCTGAAAGCGGTGCGCTACTACATGACTGCGGCCGAAAAGAACATCAAACAGTGTTTACTTCTCAACAGAACTCTGCCTGGGTCAAATATCGTGCACACAAACGCAGACGACGCACACTTTGTGTTTCCATCATGCGCGGCGGATGGAAGCCCCACGTCACAGGCGCAGAGCAAAGATTCCTCCCGCAAGACCTTCCGAAACTCACCGGGAAGAATTCACAATCCTAAAAATCTCCCTAGTGTTGGCCTCTGTCTCCCCACGGTACAGTCTGACTGGCCTCGTGAGTGTGTCAACCGCAGAAAGACACGAGGGTCTTCAGTAGGCAACAGTTCAGCTCTCAGGGGTGACCCCACGACCGCGCAAACTCTTCTGGAAAACAGTGCTGTTCTCTTCAAACCAGAAGATGAGACAGTAGGCCCGTTTTTCATCACGAATGATGGCGAAAAAGGTTAATTGTTGTTATTATTATTTCCATTTACCAATAGACTCAAAAGGAATTTTTGCCCTCCAGAGTTTAGCTTCAACGCTGATCAAACAAACCTAAGCAAGCGAATCAAGGTCTTCGCTAGAAAAGCATGTGTGTAGGTCTCTGGTGTAGGTGGGTTTGAGTTAAACTCCGCAGAAGAGTGGCCCTCCAGGACCAGATTTGTGGAACCCTGCCATAGACTGACACAAAGCTTGACATAGGAAATATAGCCAGAAATATCTGTTTGAAATGGAACTATTTATTTAGCCTTTCGACAAAAACATTGAATGTAGTGAGAATATGGAGCTAACAGTTTCGTTCAGAGGCCCAAACTGAGCAAAACATTTGGTGCAGATGTTCTTTGTAAGGCCATACAGATTCTCATAACCTGTAATGTAAATCAACAAGACTTTTATAACAGTATAACATTGCTTGCATAACATGCCAGTTTTATGATAAGAGCTCTGTCATTTTAATTGTGAAGGACAAATCATATAATTCAAAACCATGATGGGTGATACATGTACAACAAATCGTGTCTCAAAAGCCTGTAGTAAAATGTATAGTTGTACACATTTCTTTAAAAAAATATGATGTAAGATAACCAAGTAATCCTAAATTGCTTCAGTGCAGTCAGTGTATCTTGACATATTACTAACAATATAAAAGTTATAACATTTAGGCTACTTTACAGAAAAAAAAATATGTTTAGAATTAGTCTAAAAGGCCTTTTACTTAATGAAGAAGTGTGAATTATCAATCAGAGGGCAGAGGCTTGTAATGTTGTGAGCAAGTTTTGGTCATGTTGATAATTTGGAGGGCTTAGAAAAATAATGTATCAAATGGCTGTCAGATTCTTTAGTCTGAGTGTAGTTTCATCCATATAGACGTGAGATTTTCTTTGTTTTGCAGACAACAGTTCTGCAGTAACAGACACTGAGAGGAGACACGAGGAGCCAGAAGTTTCAGGCCCCTCCGCAAACCCACCAGAGGAGCAGTCTGACATGACGAATTTTCACTTTGAAATAAGCACACCTGCTGGGAATGTTAATGAGCTGGAGCTGATACAGGTGATGGAGGACACTGATGATGTCAAACAGGGCACCATTAAAATCGAAGACGATCCTGATTCACTCACATTAGAGCCTCCCTCATCAAATCCACCTGTAGTCTCTTCATCCAACTCCATGCAAGAGTTACCACAAATCTCCTCGCCTCCAGTGGCGGAGAGCGACGGCGATGCTTTGATGGCCTTGGCGCCACCTGTGGGGGGTGACTCCAGGTTCAGCGGGACAGTCGAGAGCCCTGATAAAGTGCACCGCTGCAACATTTGTGGCCGGGGATTCAGACGTTTCTACTGCTTGAAAACACACCAGCGCATACACACGGGAGAGCGGCCGTATCCTTGCAGATACTGCGAGAAACGCTTCCGCCATTTGGACAGCTTGCACAAGCACCAGCGCATCCACACGGGAGAGAGACCATACCGCTGCGCCGAGTGCGGATGCTGCTTCAGAGAACTCGGTCAACTCAAAAAGCACAGACTCAAACACTCACCCACATTTGTTCCTGTGGCCAATCCCACCTTCCCTGTCCTCCCTGCTGGACCCTCCTATGTCTGGTCACATCTCAACACACAGCAGTCTTTGGATTCAGTCTAGGCTTGTGGTGGTATCAAAGCTGTTATGTTCAAAGCTGTTATTGCGGAAACTTGGTATACGGTATTATGGTGGTATTGAATTATGTTATAAAAACAGGTTGAAAAGTTGAACAAACTTGTCCTCTTTATAACCTGAAGCATTTACATACGATGTACATTTTTATTGTGCATTTTTTAAATGAAACATGTTTCAAACAGATTAAAGTGCAAAAGAACACAACTATAAAGAATCAGAGCATTTTTTTCAACCATTGACTGGATATCTTTTCTGTTTTAGTCCAGATTAAAATGTACAAGTGTAAACAAATGCTTAGTATTAAATAAATATTAAATGCTCAATGTTTATTTGAAAATGAAAATCAAGTATTTGTTGCTGATTGATTAATACCATAGTAAATACAAAAATGTGAACATTTAAAGGCTGTTTGATTTACTTTCCTTGAGTTCAGAAACAGCTTTGTGTGGGGCAACTTTGGGTTACCACTGTAATTCTTCTTTTCCAAGTGCCATATACTGTGAGGTAGGGAATTTGCATTTTCATTCTGCCGGTTTGCCATTTTTGTTCAGACTCATGTGAAAATTGGACCAATTTATTATGCAAATGCATTCAGTGTATGCCACGCCAATTCGTATTTCCATTTTTGGCGTGCTATCAAGCCGCATGATCGCCTTTCAGTGTGTTTATGAACGCCGTTGACTTAACGTTATATAAATATATGACTTCCCTCAACCCTGTCCCTAAACCTAACCGTCACTGGGGTTAATGGCATTTATGACTGGAGATTTGACTGCGTGTACAGACACGCGGAATGACGCGGACGTTAATGGCGTAGACATACATGCATACGGATACACGAGGATAGCTCAAAATGCGTAGAGATAACACGAAAGTGGCGTGTATGTTTACGCAAAAGTCATGATGTCATGTTGCATAACCAGTTAATGGAAAATAAGCTAATGTGCATTCCAAAATTCTTAACAGTTCGAATAATGAGGTAGGCTATCTATAATTATTCACTTTATTTTGAAGTGTGCATGATAGCAATACCGTACTTGCATTACCCCGATGCCATTCTATCGAATAATGCCATGTCTAATTCAGTCGAAGGCCTATACTTATATTCTTATTTTTATAAGAATTATGGTGTTGTGCAAAACACTCTTCACATGAGTTCATTCAGTAACAGTTTGGTCCAGAACAAAATGTATGAACATTTTAACACATCAACATATAATTTATATCTCTATACAAATGTACAAAATACCTCATCAAACATGCAGCATAGCCATAACTTAGAAGTTGTTTTCATGCATAAGAACTATTTGATGTTACACTGCACAAAATTGAAATTGGTTCCAGATAAGAATAAACTTTTCAATAATGCATTTTCTGGTCTTGAGATTTCATTTTACTCACTGTCATGCAACAATGTACATCATTCATAAATCAGAACTGAAACTACTTCTTTACTTGATAGCACTTCAACGATTAAATTCATCAGTTTAACATTTTGACCTAACAAATGAAGGCAGAAAGGAATACAATTAATAAATACATTTATAAATGTATTTAAAAAACATTGAAATGCTTACTATTTAAAGGCCTACTAACGTGGTGATTTTTTGTTTGCATTTTAATTTTAAAATTTAATACAACCTAAAATGAAGAAATGTGGCAGCCTACATTTGATTTCTGATTTAAAAAAAAAAAAAAAAAAAGATAAGTCTTTATATTACGAGTCAAATTGTAAACAGCATGGTTCTCTCATGTTCTACTCAAAATCGTCCCACTCTTGTGATATTTCACCCGTCCTCTCTGTGGAGTCACATGGGCACTTTCTCTGTCCCGTGACTTTTTTCTTTTCTTTTTTTTTTAAATAAATAAAGAGTCAGCCATGCGGCGCACAGTCCCGCCGTGCTGCCATATGAGAGTACGGTTTTTATTATCATCTTTTCATGAGCCGTTACGTAATAGATTTATGTTTTCATTAGGTCCCGCTGTCTGTTGTTCATTGTCAGGTCCACAGGGGTCTCACACCATCCGTCATGTCCCGGGGGTTTGATCACGAGATCTGAGAACTTTCTTTCTACCTGCGAATCCTTAAAGAAACGAAACCAACTCGACATGATGCTCTGAGAAACATTGGGATATCCCGCATCCACATTCTCAAAACGACTCGAGTAACCTTAGTTTGGTTTCCTTGTGGTTTTGTGTAGTTTCTTCTTAAAAGCGGAAGTAACCCGCCTTTAGATCGGCGTCGCCGCTGTTGTTTATAAACGACAGGTAGGTTGTTTGTTTCTTCACCACCCTACTGTACTCTACTTTACCTTTAACGTTGTGTCAGAAATAATAACCGTACACGCCCAGGCATCTGTGACTGCTTAAGGAGATGGAGGTCTCATTCTCCTAAATGCCGGATGCCTTTTCTGGAATGAATGTCTGCTGCTAGTTTATTTCAAACTAACGTTACTTGGATGTTTTTGTTTTATGGCAACGGGGTATTATAGTCAGGTTATTCCCTTTACCTTTATAGGACTTAACATTTAGTTTTTCAACCGCGTATTTCGGATTGTTTACATTGTCATGCACTTCCGCTACTAGAACGATGCAACGTTTATTGTAAAAACACCTCTAAGACTTTCAATGAGACATTCATTGTCTTGTAGTTTCAGGGTTCCCACTGTCATTGAAATCTAGGGCAAATTGAAAACTGATTCAGGCCTGAAAAAGACATGGATATTGACAAAATACTCATTTCTATGGTGAAGGGATTGTTATGCTCAGCTCTAAAATAATTAATCAGCTAGATGTTTTAAAGTAAACTGTAAAGACAAAAAAAGACAACATAAAACATAAAGCCATTATAAGATATCCCCATCAAATTATCATGAACTTGACATTACCATAGTTAGAGTGATTGCTTTTTATTATTTTCTTTCTCCTTTTTGACCCATTTTAAAAATAATAATAATTGGATTACAACAACAAAAATACACACTACCATTCAAAAGTTTGGGATTAGGGTTAAAATAACAGCTTTTTTTTGTTTGTTTAATATATATATATATATATATATATATATATATATATATTAAAATGTAATTTATATTGTATGTTTTTTCAGCTTCATTACTCCAGTCTTTATGTCACATGATGCTTCAGAAATCATTCTAATATGCTGATTTGCTGCTCAAGAAAAGTGTATAAATGTTGAAAACAAAAGCGTAATATTTTTGAGGAATCATGGCCCATTTTTGTCTAGATTTTTTGATGAATTGAAAGATCAAAATAATAGCGTTTATTTCAAAGCCATTTTTTTCTTCAATATCATTTTAAGCAATTTAGTGTGCCCTTGCAATATAAAAATATTACTGACCCCAAGCTTTTGAACAGTAGTTTAGATTTAGCATATTTCAATAATAATAAAAACAGTCAAAGCTCTTTTAATAGCTGACAAAAGTTAAAAAAAAATCTATTTGTGTCATTTTTGGTTTGATTGTACTGAACAGGAAACGGTTTTATCTGTAGGTTCCTGTTTTTCAGACCATGGCAAACGAGCACTCGCCTCTTCTTGTTCACGGGGTGTACAGCATGATGGGAGATGCTGAAGATTCCAGGGGTGGATCAGCAGTGACAGGAGAGGGATCCCCCAAATCAAACCCCCGCAAACTCAACACCTTCTTTGGTGTCATGGTGCCCACCATCCTCTCCATGTTCAGTATCGTGCTCTTTCTTCGCACAGGTTAGCGTGACTTTGGAAGAGTATGGCAGGAGATTTTATAAAGCATTTTAATATGGTGATATATCACATTATAACTCCCCTCTGTGTGGCCCTGGGTGTGTTTTTTTTTTTGCATAAATAATTCTGATAAGTGTCTATGTTTCAGGTTTTGTTGTGGGCCAGGCCGGTCTTCTCCATGGTCTCCTCATGCTGTGTGTGGCCTACTTCATCATTTCATTGACAATCCTGTCGATATGTGCTATTTCAACTAATGGCGCTGTGGAAGGGGGCGGGGCCTACTGTATCCTTAACCAGTCTCTCTACTCTATAGAGTGCTATAGTTGCAGGGTGAATTCCAAATGCTGTTTTTTGAAGGGCAATAGTGCAACAATGTAGCCTGGGTTTCCCCATACTGCCTTGCCGCAGCGCGATTTTATTGAACCAAATTTTCCCCTGAAATAGGGAACCAATCACAGAACGGGGAGGGAGCACAGGCGCATTTGATAGACATTCGTAGCACCCAATAATACGGCTCTGGGCATTCGTAAACCACACCTCAAAGACGAGACAATGAACATGTGGTTTCCAGACCATGTCTCATTCTCAATGCTATGTGGTCTGGCGTTAGCCAGGCTACCAACAGTGGGTTATGGCATATTCTGGCAAACCATTTGCCAATCAGCAATCAGCAAAGCAAGCAGTGGTACACGCCATTTACCAACAAGCGGTGGGTAATTCGCAAAGCACAAACTATTTTCTGTTTTCCTAGCCCAATATCATAGAACGGCATAAAGTAAGAGGCTTGAGAGTAAGTGGCGGGGCATCAGTTAAAACATTTCAGAGTTAAAGTTCAGGCAAACAGGTATTAATAGACAAATTTTAGTCAAATATTGATTGTTTATAGCTGAATTAGTAGAACGCAAAATACATAACCGGTTTTATTTGTTTATAATACAGCAATCTTATTGACGTAGACGGTTAAGCATGTGCATTCCTTTATGTGTAAGTCTGGTACGTGTTTATGAATGATCTCCTGTCAACTACGCTGTTTGATCGCAGCCTAGACTACTACATAAGTATTAAGTGACAACCACGATTCAATAACGATCAATTGGATAATGTTTTGATGAACTTACGAATCAACTTAGATGAATTTACTGTCAAAATAGATGCGTATAGCACTCAATTCACATCGTTTAAAAGCAGCTTTACAAAGAGTCATTTTGTAAGCTTTAATATTGAGCAGTTATTTACAAACGGTTTGCCAGAATATACCCTGATCACAGTGCCTGTCCCCATTTTTTTAGCTGTTCTGGTTCCGGAAGTTCATTTTAAAATAGTCTTTGTTAAAGAGTTATAAGCCCTCAATCAATCCATTCAGCAATGAGGTGAATCACTACACTACAAAGGTACAAGACTGTGTACTTAATGGTTTTATTGAGGGTAACTACGATCCCATGAAGCATTGCGAACTACATAATCAAATTAAAATGATAGAGAGATAAAAAACTACTTTAAAATGTTGATTATATGTATAAAAAACAATATATTTTAAGTTTAAATTTTAAGAGACCATGGATTAACAACCTTGTAGCACACAGTAGGCCTGTCTTTAAAGGTTTATAAGCTATCGTTTAAAACCAATTTCCTTATGGAGAAAATTAATGTTATGTTTACTTCTTGTTGTTGCACTCTATTAGGTAACGGGACACCATTTGTAGGGGCTTTCCAAATGAAAGTGAACAACTGAATCCATTCACAAAGGGCCAGCCCTTCGATAACTTCAAGTTCATTAGCAAAGGTTACATGCTATGGTCACTTCAAGGAAGTTCATTTTATCATTTAGGGTCACTTGACACAGGGTTGATTCATAGTTTTTAAGCTAGATGAGAGGAAAGTTCAAGATAATGAATAAACCGAATCAATTAAAGGGTTGGTTCACCCAAAAGTGAAAATTCTCAGTCATTAATTACTCACTCTCACGTCTTTCCAAACCCGTAAGACTTTTGTTCTTCTTCGGAACACAATTAAAAAATTTTTTATGAAAACCACGAGATTTCCTAGCATACGAATATGAAATCAAATCATACGATCCCACACCTCCTCCAAAACACATGAAAGCAGGCCAGAAGCGAGACGACTAGAGACAACCTTATTGGTTTACATCCATTGAGATTCGGATTACATCATGTGTCATTCACCTGTGAGAAAACTTTACAGTACAGAAAACAGAAGCGCTTGCTTGTATTCATAAGTATGTGATTGTCAAATGACTCCAAATCAGAAGTTGACCTGTTGACACAAAGGAACGAATGCACTGTATTTCAGCTTTATTCATATGCGATGTCAGGACATAGCGCAACACAGTCGAATCTCGATGAGTTATCTGCATAGGGCAAAGTCACCGCTACATTGAGCTGTACTGTCAAACATGAATATCCCTAAAACCAGGGTTAAGGGAAGGATAATGAAGAAATTACATTGTCTTTAATTGCTCCCTTTGCCAAGTGCATCCAAAATGGCTAAATTTTGACAAACAGGTGCCTTCCTCCCTCTAAAGTCTCCACTTCAAGGGCTTTGCCCCTCAGAGTGAGAAAGGGATATGGATGCTCCCTTCCGATTGGAATTTGTTGTTTGTGAGTGTTTGTATATTGTTGTTGTTGACATTTAACTCTTTAGTATTAGTCATGATCAGTCGTTCCCTGGGGCCAGAGTTTGGAGGTAGTATCGGCCTGATGTTTTACTTGGCGAAGGTATGTGCATGTGGCGTCTATGTACTCGGCCTGGTGGAGGCCATACTGGATGTCTTCGGGAAGGATCCTGGTGAGCGCTGCATTGAAGCACACTGTACTAAGCAGTCTTTTAAAGCAAATGAAATCAGTTTTTACAGTGACGCTTCTGTTTTCTTGTCTCTCCAGGCTCTGCTGTGTCACATGGGCTGCGTGTGTTGCCGCAGGGTTACTGGTACACTGTGTTGTACTCCTCTGTAGTGCTGTTGCTATGTCTGGTGGTGTGTCTGGTCGGTGCTCATATCTACGCCAAAGCCTCTTTTATCATTCTGCTGGTGGTGACGGTGTCACTGATCTCCATCATCATCAGCCCCCTTATAGTCAGTCCACAGCGCTTCAACATCACACACACATATGGCACCAACCACAGCGTCACTGTCAACCCCAGCTACACAGGCTTCAACGGCTCTACATTGAAGAACAACCTTGCACGTGAGTGAGATTATCATCAATGCAATAATGATACTGACTGTTATGGTGATTACAATTGATGCTCTTTAACAGTTATATTTCAAAATACCTCGAAGACAAATGAGACTGATCACAATCAGTGTGTCCTGTCTGTTAGATGAAACATTTAGTGGAAAAAAGGTATATCGGACGGTGAAATACTTTTCAAATGACAGTTTGAAAAACACAAAACAAAGAGGCAAACATTTGACAGAAGAATTGAACATTCCTCAAAAGTACATTGTGATTTACAAGTAAAGGAAGTTTATAATAAGTTTTTGCATGTAAGTGTAGTTTTTTAAAGAAATTAATGCTTTCATTGAGCAAAAATATATTCAGTTGATCAAATGTAATAGTAAAGACTTTTAGGTTGTTTAAACTAAAGCATGTTTGATTAAAGTTTTTAATTAAGAGATATTTAATAAATAATATAACATAAGATACAGTCATGCTCAAAAGTTTGCATACACCTTGCAGAATCTGCGAAATGTTAATTATTTTAACAAAATATACAAATGCATGTTCTTTTATTTTTAGTACTCTCCTGAATATGCTATTTTAAGATGTTTACATATACTTAACAAGACTAAACAAAATTTGGCTTGGGTTGAAAATGTTTTTTGAGTCCCTTAAATGTCCTCCGTGTGAAAAGATCAGTCACTGTATGATTTTGGGTTCAAAAATGCAAAAGATGTTGGAAAACTGAAGGATTTTTCTGAATAACATTGGACAGTTTAACTGCTCAGGATAAACAACGGACTCAAGAACAACCATCACAAGAAAAAAAAGTCATGGATCATCCAGCGACACATTTAAGAATCAAGGGCATGTTAAACTTTTGAATGGGGTCATTTTTTTAAATTCAGTTATTTCTTTTGTCTTGTGGACTTTATGTAAACATATTTTTATGTATATCTATCATGCATTTTGTATGATCCCTATTATTTTGTTATAATAATAATTAACATTTAGCCGATTCTGCAAGGTGTATGTAAACTTTTGAGCATGACTGTAAGTACAGTAGGACCAAGACCAACAGCAGAAACATCCTTGACCTTATCCTTGACCTATGTACAAACATGTCAGCAAATTCTCCATAAATTTCCACGGTGTTGATATTATTGTAGTTAGGTGCTAGTACAGTTTTCCACTAGGTTGGGTTTCTCCATTCTGCCTTGCCACAGCGCGATTTTATTCGCGCTGCTAGGCAGTCTGGACACCATGAAACAAATTTTCCCCTGAAATAAGGAACCAATCACAGAACGGGGAGGGAGCACAGGCACATATGATAGACATTCATAGCACCCAATAATACGGCTCTCTGGGCCTTCGTAAACCACGCATCAAATACGAGAAAATTTACATGTGGTTTCCGGACCACGTCTCATTCTCAATGCTATGTGGTCTGGCGTTAGCCAGGCTAGTTTTCCACTAAAATCATAAAACCGTTCCAATAACAAATGCACAATAGTTTGCAGAAGCGAAGCTCTTTTCATTCATTTATATAATTACTGCACTGTCATGGATTCTGTTCATTTGTCTCCTCCTGTAGCACGCTACTCTCTGGACTACAGTACCAACACAGTGATGTCTTTCGCCACTGTATTTGCTGTGATGTTCACTAGCTGCACAGGCATCATGGCAGGAGCCAACATGTCTGGTACAAAACAAGAGACGCCCACATACACCATTCAATTTTTAAATACTTGGATTCTCTTTTTGGTTACTGAACATGGAACATGTCATTTGATTTGTCCTCTTCCTCAGGTGAGCTGAAGAACCCCAGTGAGTCAATACCTAAAGGGACCATCATAGCGGTGTCCTACACCTTCTCTGTCTACCTGCTTCTCTTCCTGCTCCTGAGCTCTACCTGCGACAGGTTAACGACACTCATAGGAAAACATTATGCGTTTACACAATGCTTTGTTTTTCCTCTCTCCTTTATTCCTCCTGTCGTTCTCTTGGTTTCTCTCTCTCAGGTCGTTGTTGACCAATGATTATGCAGTTTTCCAGCGTGTGAACATATGGCCTCCGTTGGTGACGATTGGGGTTTACTGCGCGTCTCTCTCAGCTGCTATGTGCTGCATGATAGGAGCTTCCCGAATCCTCCACGCTCTTGCTCTGGACCAGCTTTTTGGTTAGTGTGCATTTGAGGGTTTGGTCTTTTTAAGGGACAAATTTCAGACTGGAAACTGATACTGAGATGGTGATATATGGTATGGTTGTTCACAAGAACTGTTATCGGAAATTATTTGTAAGCAAATACTTGGAAAACGGTATACATGGTTCCTAAGAAATTAGGAATATTTTGATTAGTGAATATTTTTCAGTTCTGCTTCATTTGTAACATTTTCTAGGCTGTTATATGGTGTGAGAGGTCATATGTTCTGTGCAAGAAGATAAAAAGGACATTTTAACTGAAAGAATCATAACACATTCTCATTTCCTTCATTTTCTACTGAAATCGGTTTATTGATAGAATCAAAAAACAATCTATTCTTATTGAGAATTTATGAAAATTAAAAAAAAAAAATCCTGTCAAAACATTTAAAAATCATTCACAGGAACCAGAACAAATTTATTCAAAATATAATGTATGTACAAATAGGAAACACCAGTTCACTATTTTCAGATTGTTTGCATAAAAGAAAAAGAATAAGAATATATTGGTCTTATGTGTGGCTCATTTATCATGGCTCATATAACGCGTTTTAAATTCTTGTCTGATTTAATGTAACACAGTTTTTCCAAGACTCTTTACTAAATTACTATTTGATTATTAGAGCCAGACCGATATATCGGCAGGCCGATATTATCGGGCGATATTAGGCATTTTCCAAACTATAGCTATCGGCAGTTATAATGGCCGATAAATGAATATTTCAAAAATAAAATAAAAACAGAGGAAACACGCTTGAACCATGTCACGAGTGTTGGAGTTGTATAGTTTGTCCACCAGAGGACACTCTACACCGTCCCTGTTCGCAACACTCATTGAGTTGGTCACGAGACATACATTGCTTGAATAACAATTAAAAGAACATCGCCATCAGTTCTCTTAACTCAAATAAGCATGACAAAATTTGTGACTATCATGTCCAGTTTTGCTGCTGTTAAATAAGCCAAGAGTGAAGCGGAATTAGCTAGTAATAATTAGGTTACGTTGTTGCAGTGTAGTTGACTGACTGTCCTTTTAACTTTTGACAATGTGTCTGAAGTATTTCCTTAATAGCGCGTGACAGTTATAGCAAAGAGACGGATCATCTCTCCTTGGCCTGTTATATTGAAAATGTATGTTTTACAATTTGCAGTATGACATAATCCATTGCTAAATTATGGCTCGTCATAGACTAGCTAACCACAAAGCTAGCTAATGCCACTATCATCAGTCTGTTCTGTTGTGACAATAAAAGAAACAAGTTTCTTTTTAAAATGCATTATCATATTATTTTAGTTAAAACTCATAAATAACTACAAATAACTAATGTTAGGGAAATCTGTTAATGTTTTGTTGCACGTTTCTGAAATAAAAAAACTTTTTTTTAAAATATCGGCCGATATATCGGAATATCGGATTTTAAAACCAAAAAATATTTGTATCGGTATCGGCCTTCAAAATCCAATATCGGTCGGGCTCTATTGATTATGATTATACACTACTTGGTCTCAGTAAGATTTGTTTTTTTATGTTTTTGAAAGAAATATTTTATGCTCACCAATGCTGCACTTATTTGACCAATTTTATTTATTAATTAGTAAAATCTTGTGAAATGTATTACAACTGAAAATAGCTGTTTTTAATTGATTAAAATGAATTTATTTATATGATGGCACAGCTGAATTTTCAGCATCATTAAAAATATTTCATTCATGTACAGTTTTTCAGGATTTTATAACGAATAGAAAGTTCAAAAGAACAGCTTTTATTCAAAATATAAATTTTTGTAACAGTGTAAAAGTACTTATTCTGACTTTTGATAAATTGAATGCATCTTTAAAAATAAAACTATCAATTTCCTGAAAAAATAAAATGACCCCAAACTTTTAAATGGTAGAGTAAACATATAAAATAATGTGTAACAGTTTAATTTCCTGGATATAGGAAATCAAATCGTCAACCACCCATTGACACAGTAACTTTAAGTTATAGGGGGTTGAGGGTTGAGTTTGAGGAGTTATGATATGATGGTGTAATAGTATCCTGGAGTGAGATGATAGTACTGCTCTGTTGGGGTGTGTCATGGGTTTGTTGATCTGTGCTGTGTGTGTGTGTGTGATCTGGTTTCAGGCCTGCCTCTGGCTCCGGCTGCAGTCACCTCCAGCTCTGGGAACCCATGGGTGTCTGTGCTGTACACCTGGGGCCTGGTGCAGGTACAGGGTTGCTGAGTGCACATGTCTTTGGATGCTATTTCTGTGACACGTAAAATATAAAGAGTAAGCCTGTTAAGATTTTGTGTATCTGTGTGTTGTAGTGTACGCTGTTTGCAGGACAGCTGAATGTGATTGCTGGTATCGTGACAGTATTTTACCTTTTGGCATATGCTGCGGTGGATTTGGCCTGTCTGGCTCTGGAATGGGCTTCCGCTCCAAACTTCAGGTGTGTGGGGGGGTGTGTTGTTTTTTTATAAGGTAATTGTGACTTTATATCTCAAAATGTGACTTCATATGTTATAATGTGACTATGTCTTACATCTGCAACTGTATTTCTTGTAATTGCAACTTCATGACTTTTTTTTTTCTCACAATGTAAGAATCTCTTCCTGTATTTTAACTTTTCTGATAACCTTTTTATTTATTTTTTTACCCTGAGTTGATATTTCAGTCTGCTTTTGATGATCATTCAAAGAATTTGTTTGTTTGTAAATGCACTAAAAAAATACAGTAAAAAAAGAAATATTATGTGTCAAGTTTAAAAGAAATTTTTATAGTATTTATTTCTTAAAATCGTAATAACCCCAAACTTTTGAACAGTACTACAAGTATCTTATCTCTACATTTTAATTCTTCTTTCTTTCCAGGCCCACATTTCAGTTTTTCTCTTGGCACACATGTTTGTTGGGTATTGTCAGCTGTGTGGTAATGATGTTCGTGATAAACCCAGTGTATTCCTCGGCCAGTATCGTCCTGCTGCTGCTCCTCCTGCTGATCCTGCACTACCGCTCTCCCACCAGCAGCTGGGGCTACATCAGCCAAGCACTAATCTTCCATCAGGTGCATACACGCGCACACAAAACACGTGTGAATGCACTAAACTGTAAATCCATAAGACAATCTTTCTGTGCTCTTTCAGGTGAGGAAGTACCTTCTGATGTTAGACTCCCGTAAGGATCATGTGAAGTTCTGGAGGCCTCAGGTCTTACTGATGGTTGCGAACCCACGCTCCTCCTCTCAGCTCATCTGCTTTGTCAACCAGCTGAAGAAAGGAGGGCTGTTTGTTCTTGGACATGTGCAGATCGGAGATCTTGGTAGGACAAAAGGGGTATTAGGTTCAGGGGACAACTCTAAGTTTCACGAGACCCATAGACCAGTTTCTACCCTTGCTAGTTACCACTAACTAACTTGCTAGTTTAAACTGCTTCCTCCGATTCTTAAAGAAAAAATCAGCGATCACGTATACCTGATGTTTTGGAATGCTGCTTTCTCCAAAAACTACTGTATGTGCAGTAGCATAAACATTTCCTAAGTTTATGTAAATAGCGTCATTGTGGCTGTGTGGGTCTGGTCATGATGCTCAAATGAACAGAGCCATGTTTTGATAACATCACATAGTCACAGGACTTTCATGGAAGTCGGATACGCCAAAATACCTTAGGTTGTTTTGTTTCGGTTACATTTTTGCAGCTAATGTAAATGTTTTCATTGTAATCTGTTAATTTCAGTCAGTTTGACTGGTAACTCAGGCTCATCCACAAAATTGACTCGCCCTCATGATGTCTTTCCAAACCTGTATGACATCTTTCTTCTGCGGAGCATTGAAAAAGATATTTTGAAGAATGTATCTCAAAATATCTTCTTACTGACAAATATATCTATGATGACAGAATTCTCACTTTTGCCTGAATTATCCCTTTATTATACTAAACAGTCTTCCTCTCTTCCTCCTTTAAACTCATTTTACTTTATCACGTGGTTGCACAAACATTGGAAAGGAACGTAATGTCTCTGAACTCTTTCTTGCAGACCTGTTGCCCTCTGACCCAGTGCAGCCGCAGTATAATTTCTGGTTGAGTCTGGTGGATAAGTTGGGTGTAAAGGCCTTTGTGGATCTGACTCTTTCTCCCTCCGTGAGACAGGGCACTCAACATCTGCTCCGCATCACTGGACTGGGTGAGACATTTCCTGATCAGGTTATCTTTTTGACTCGGAGCCAGAAAGCATCTGTAGATTAGATTCTAGATATTCATTGTTGCTGTACAAAGTGCAAGTGCCTAGCCAGTGAAATTCCAGTCATAGAGTCCTAAACAAGGTGTCAGCACATAGTTTCACTTAAAAAAAACAACAAATGTTTTGCAAACTAAAACATATAAAGTAAAAAAAAAACTACTGTTAGAGAACTTTCAATTTTTTCAAAGATAAATCATTCCTTTAAACATTTAATTCGAGTTTTGAGTGTGTTTTTGTTTTTTTTTTAAAGTCCGTTAATCCGTGTGAAAGGCAAGTCAATGGCAAAATAAGGACAAGAAACAACTTCATCGACTTTTGTCCTCATGGGCAAACAAACACACTGCACAGTGTGACAGGCGTTGCCAGATTCACGTATAGTCGACTGGTGGTTCTTTTTTGTGAATCAAAAACATACAGCACACGCAGAGTAGTGAATTTTTGTGGGCCAGTTCTTTTTAGTGCATCAAAAACACACAAAACCAGCATAGATTGTTTCATAAACAAATGACTCCTATGAGCTCATCCATATTAATGATTCATAAAGATGCAGCACAAACAGTCTAAACTGATTTCACAGCAAATGATACTGGTGAGCTGGTTCTTTTTAGTGAATCAAAAACCCACACCACGACCAGTGTAGTCCATTTCAGAAACGAATGACTACTGTGAGCTGGTAAATCAAAAACTCCCAATTCTTTCAAAACAGTTTATATAAGTTTGAAACTTTGCTCTGTTATATAACATGACATGTAGAGAATCTTCAAATCAGAATCAACTAATTAAAAATGTATCAATACTTCTATGTATTCTCTTCTTTTCCAGGAGGTATGAAGCCTAATACCCTGGTATTGGGCTTCTATGACAACTGCTACCCAGAGGACTACTTCCTGCAGGACCCCGTCTTTTGCGAGGGTGATAGGGGTGAGGGGGATAATTTCGGGGTTGACCTCCCATCCTTACAGGCTCATTTCCCACTGGTACGTCATGCGGAGAGCCCTCGCACGCTGCAGCCCGAGGAGTACGTGAGCATCATCCTTGATGCCATAAAAATGGGCAAGAATGTTTGTTTAGCCAGGTACTTCTTCCAGCTACCTCCTGATAGCAAAGGTGTTACATGCATTAGGGGAAATGAAAGCGTGGACACCATCGACGTGTGGCCGACAAACCTACTGTCGCCTGACAGTGGCAGTTACGCAGACGTGTGCAGTCTTTTCCTGCTTCAGATGGCGTGCGTGTTAAACATGGCCAGCAGGTGGCGTCGTGCAAGGTTACGTATATTCGTCTGTGTGGAGTCCGAATCGGGAGACCAGGGCTGGCTGGCTAAAGAGGAGCAGTTTAGAGAGTTGCTGGGCAAGCTGAGGATTCGTGCTTCTATTAAGATTGTGCCGTGGGATAACGTGGCACGCATGTTTAGAGCGCAAAGCTCAGAGAGGCAAAAAGTGTCTGAAGACTTCCTGTGTGCTGTGAATGCTCTACTGAAGGAACACAGCTCTCCAGCATCGGTGCGCTTCCTGTACTTGCCCCACCCTCCCTCCAGTTCGGACTCGGAGCTGTCACAGCAGTACCTGTCGCAGCTGGACGCATTGACGCGAGACCTGGGCCCAGCTCTCTTGATTCATGGGGTCACACCAGTCACATGTACTGAGCTCTGAGAAACAATAACCAAAGCGTGTTTGTGTGATAGAGAGGAAAATCTGAAATGTTAGTGAGCGGAATACAAGTGCTCCTTAATTGGTGGGTGATTTTGAAGACCATTATAAATGGGTGGAGTTTGTTCTCTTGGGAAATAAGTTATTTAAAGGTGGATGGATGGAGTGTGTGTTATCAGTGAAAACGGCTTGTGTTTATGGGTGTATACTGCCAAATCATGTTGCAGAGTGCAGTAATTTTTGCATTCTTCCTGCGTCTCCGTTTGATCTCATCAACAGAAAGTTTAGTGTTTTCGTGGAAAGGGATTGTGTGCATATGCATTTAAATGGCTAATGCTCATTCAAGAGTCAGACAGTAAGTGTAAATATTTAAACAGATCACATGATCCATGTGTTTGTGCAAGACACTGGATGGAAAAAATAACATTGACTTTAATTAGGATGGAAAGAAAGCGTTTGTTTAAATGGGTTATGGTTATTGTTGACACTGTAATAGGCCAAAGTGAGCCTGTTCACTCAATTTTTTTTTTTTTTATTGTGATTGTACAGTTGGATCAATTTGTTAATCATTTCTGCCTTTTCTTAGTATGAAACAAACCCTCTGAACCCATTTTGACCCAGTTAGAGCTTTCAGGCCAATGAGGAGTCCTCACGCCACGGGTTTAGGTCATGTTTGGTGTGGTGGCAGAAATGCTGTTCTCAGCTTTCCAATTAGAGTTCTTATTCATGGTGTATTTACTGGATAATCATATAGACTGGCATGCTATGTTATTTATTATTATTGCATTCTTGTATGAGAAAGCAGGGAGAAAGAGTGAAAGTGTTTTCATGTGAACCTGTTCTCATTAGTAGGTTTGGATTTCATATTGTGGGGCTCATGGAATTCCCCTGACCATTTGCATAACCTTTTTGCGTTACCTTTAGCACCATTTTGTGCGTTTCTTGCCGTTTTTACAGTTAAAATGCTTTTTGCACTTATGAATGTTTTGACTGGCTGAAGGGAGAGGTGAGTGAATGGCTTCCGATTGGTCAGAGCTGATGATGATGTTTGTGTTGAGTCTGTGCTGGTCTTTGGGAACTGAAAAGGGACACTGGCTATAAATAATACTTGAATATTTTGCATATTTGCGCGTGTGTTAGTTTGTTATCATTAACAAAAAACAATGCAGAAGCCCAAGAATATCAGGCCTTTATCATAGCTGTACAACAATTGAGGTCTTATGCTAAATAAGTAATTCCATTCTGTAAACATGATTATATAAAAAATGTTTTTATGGTGCTTCGAGTATGTAAAAAATGCGTTACACAATCCAGTTTACATATAATATTTAGAAATCAGAAATTAAGGCACATCATTAACATTAATATACTTTCAAAAATACATTCATACAATCACAGTATACAATCATGATCTTTGGTTGACAATTTTAGCTCAACAGGAAGTTCAGTTAGGATGTAGCACAATTACCCAGAACTTCTTAGCACTGTACAGTGTATGCAATAGCTTAATCATGCGGCTGAATGTAGTGTTTGTAAACCGAAGACTAAATGATTAAAAGAAACATTTGTCATCTTTTCCGCTCATTGACTCTTTCTTTATGCTGAAATTATAATTCTATTCCATCCTAGAGTGTGTTCATGTCACATTATGGAAAAGCAATAAATACATGAAGTATTTAAATAGCCTACTACAGTATAAACTAGCTATTATGAAGTAGTTAATGTGTTCCAGTCCTGTCCAATGGCTCTTTTCTTATTTCAAAATTTAGAACACAGAAAAAGAAACAACAGCAGCAAGGAAGTAGGCCTATTATAGAAAAAAAGTTTTACACTTTAAAATTTTAAAATAGTCATAAGCCAAGAACAAAGCCAATCAGCTATGAGGTGAATCTGCATATTTTGATTTGAAGCAAAAAAAAAAAAAGTTTTTGAGAATCAAAAAAAAAGACAAAAGGTACAAGACTGTACTCAACGGTTTTAGTGAGGGGAAAGAACTACAATCCCATGAAGCATTGCAAACTGCGTAATGGAATTAAAAATGAAGAAATATAAATTTTACATTTATTGCAAAATATGCATATGTACACAAATTTTTGTATTTTGAGAGCATATAGAGATTGCAGTGCTTCATGGAAGTGGGCGGAGCTTGAGAGCTAATTTGGAGCGTTTTGCTTTGTTCGTCTTTGGTGTTATTTTCTGTACAGCATTATGGCTAATGTAGTTTTTCACCTGGAATTCTGCTGTTAAACATGATTATTTACAACCTATACAACCTTGTAGCTCACAGTAAATGTGTTTAAAGGTGTAAAAATTCAGCTTTGAAGAATTTAAAACATTTAAATTACATTTAAAACATTTTTTCAAATAGAAAAGTTATAATAAATTGTAATATTTCACAATCTTACTGTTTTACTGTATTTTTTATCAAATAATGACAGCCGTAGTAAGCCTACCAGTAAGTGACCTTTTTTTTTTTTTTTTTTTTTTTTTTTTTTTTTTTATTACCCAGCTAAGTGTAAATGCCATTGAACTCTGTAAAAAGGGCCCACAGTTTGATACTGCTGATTCAGTTTCCTATACAAACAAACATTGGAATTAACTGTACATAGACCTTAGACCTGCCAAGTTCCAACTTAACAGAAAAAGTATACGCGGGTGTATTTGTCACTGTTGTTACACTGCATCTGATTACCTGTCACTGCAGTAGAAACAGTTTGTTTATAGTTATTAATATCATTAGGCATATGTTTGTGTGTTGTGTGTTATCTCTGTGGTCCACAGGTTTGTCAGTCCTGTTTGTTGTTTGTCTGTGCCATCCTCTCCTTTAATTTCGGTTCAATCTTACGAGCGAATTTTGCCATGAGTTTTACACAAAAGGACGTGAGACGCAGCCAGCCCGGGAAAAAAATGGACAGAGCAATGTGCTGAAACAACAAATGATGGTAAGTTACCTTTCTATAACATATTCAGATGTTTCTATAAATCCTTCAGATGATTTTTTAAATAAAATAAAAATGTCTACATTATCTCACAACCCTGTATCTTTATGTAGTACAAACTGTGCATTGAGGGGGATAAAAAATTGGTATAAAATCTGCATTCCCACACTGTACACACTGATTTGTGTGTGGTGCTTACCTGCAGTGCATGAGTTAAACATCCACTTGTGTACGTTGTGTAACCTACAGTGTTCAGAGCATCTCTAGCAAAAGAAGCAGCACTTTTTACCAGTGGATTCACCGGCACGTTATGAGTCATATTTGTGGAGACTATAAACGGGGCTACACACTAGACAGAGGAAGAGAAATAACATCAATGTTTGGCAAACAGTGTTTATACAAGATATTTCCTAGCACTGGACTTACTTGAACCGTGATTCCTCTTGACCTGTATTCTGCATGCAGACTGCGAGAGAAATATGTAACAAATATCTGGGTGTAAGAGAAGAGCCAAGCACACTTTAGTCACTTTGTTTGTGCAAGGTTGTATGTTATTCAAATATAGAGGCATGTGAAATGTGGTTTGTTTGTGTGTAACAACGTTGTACCTTAGTGGCAGAATACACCGACACCATTGGCTGAGGCTGAGAGGCAGCCTCTGATGATATGTTTATAATGAGGCCTTTTCCCCTGAGAGTAAACACAAGCCTTCAGTTAAAGCATAAACACAGTTTTAATAATTGAACAGACAAGATCAGAGCTGCGGGTTTACCTTTCAACCATGCCTGGCAAAATGAGTCTGCACATCTACAAAAACATTATTAACACTTTACATACAGAGATGTTATGAGGACCATTCTATTAACAGTTTAAATACAGTTTTAAATAAAAATCAAACATTTTAAATATAAAATATATTTCATACAGATATTCTTACCTGAGTGACAGACAGCATGTTGCAGTTTATCACCTGTGTGATTCTCTGGAAACAGAAGAAAATACTTTATATTGTAGACTCTCTCGTGCAATGGCTTCAGATTACAATAAAGTCAAGCTGTGTGGTGTAGGAAAGGTGTTTCAGACCTGGTCTGGATTAGGAACATCCAGAAAATTTGCCAGAACCCCAATATAGTTCATACCTACATTGTTTACTATAGGGAGAAGAGAAGAAATCGTCAACTATTTATTGATTTGTACGATATTATCCTACTTGTTGATAGCATGGAAGAAAAAAAATGGACATTACAACATAGAAAATAAGCTAGATGGGAAACAGCATCTGTGACTTTATAGAGATAAATACATTATTACATTATTGCTAATATTTACCCATAAAAAAGTCCTATATGCCATTTGCCCCAGAGAGTTACACTGAAATAATGAGGCAGAGGTAAATACCATTGAGGGGGGGAGAGTCACGTGTCAATGCATTCCCTCTATAGCTGACAAAGTAACGCACCTCGAACAGACCTCGAACCTTTTTGTATGTTTTATCTCTATGTTGTTGGTTATTTAACTTTTATGTCATGGATCCGATTCATCAGAAGTAAAGGATGATGACACTGGAGTGGATTTTCAAACCTCGCCCGTCCCACTCCCACGAAAAAACATCCAATCCCATCCCAATCCCGTAATAATGACTCCTATTCCCTCCCACTCCCGTCACCGTGTTGTTTTTTTAGACCGGAATCTGTCGCTCGCTTTCCCTCTCGTGTGCCAAGGCGCTTGAAGCTCAAGCCATTTCTCAATACCAAGTAAGCAAACTTCGGACTTGCGTCCTTGGTAGTTCGGACTTGCAAGCTCGACTCGGGAGAACGAACTCCCGAGGACGACAGTGCAAGTCCGGTTCTTCTGCAAATTGAACAGCGTTCTTGATCACGTCACTCAGCTCACTCTGGCTAGGCTACTCCGGTTATCTCTTTATGTAGGCTATATTTTAGGCAACAATAAAACGAGATATGCAACAACTCTGCCTCTTTTCGTCAACAATAAAACGAAATACTAGGCTATATAAATGACCAATGGGGGAATGGGGGAATGACCAAACACAGAAAAAGAGTAATTGACATTTATTTTAAATTTCCAATTTTATTTGTAGAACTTATCACATTGCTAAAAGTTTGTATATATATATACGTTTAATATAAAACCTCAGTGCCTTCTAGCTCACATTTAGCAAAAATATTGTTTAAAAAATGGTCATGATAAACTAAATAAAAATTTTTTGGACCCAGAAAAGAAAAATATTTAAGCCATGTCGATAAGGCTTGTCATCATTTGATCATTATCTTACCCAGAATTCCGATCTCCAGCCCCACTAGCTGTTGTGCGATAACTGGGTAGATGGAATGGCCATCTGTAAAGTCTGTCTGAATCACATGTGTCTGTCGATTGTACTGAGACTCTGGAACAAACAAAAAGTACAAAGCTGATCTAAGCTCTTTTACTCTTTAAAAATAATACATAGTTTTCCCACAAAAAACTAGTCTGGCTAAAAGAATAAGCAGATTAAATATAAATACATTATTTTGGCAATATACATGCAAATATGGTTCACGTCAAATTCCAGCCTGTGGAAATGTGGTCAAATATTTCTCTGTTCTGATGACAGATTTTCCTTCTTTGAGAAGCTTTTTTTTCTCTTCACTTCCACTTTGTAACTCACCTATTTCTTTGGCAACGCTACGAAGCTTTTCTTCTGAGCGACTGATCAGAACAATGTTTAATCCTCGTTTGGCAAGCTAAGATACAAATACATAACAGAAACATTATATATGTGCACTGCATGTATATAGAGGTAGAGGTGAATTAGTAGGTGGCTAATTTTAAAATTAGCCATTGTGGAAGTCAATCACAGGAGTCTTTCACTGTTTTGATAAGATACGGAAGAGTGCAAACGCATTGAATGATGGACATCCTCTCATTAATCAGACTACTTTCCTCTTCCTTGACTTGACGGATTTTAATCTGTTAAAATACTTGACCACATACATGCGGTTTTGGAAAGCGAAAATTACTAGTGCATCTGGATCCTCTACAAAATCAGACTTCAAAGACTGGGGTGCGTTTCCTGAAAGCATCGTTAGCCAACTATGGTCGCAATTTCCATTGAACTCCATTGGTAACGACGGAACTTGCGACCATAGTTAGCGAACGATGCTTTCGGGAAACGCACCCCTGGTTTGTTATGGCAGTTCGCCTATAAAGTGAAACACTGCACTAAAATTGCATTTTAGTGACAATTATAGAGCAAACTTGACTTTAAGTTATGGCTAAGGGTGTTTTAAGTCACCAAATGCAGTCAAATATTGCATGTAACTTTAAGAAACCCTAACTATGCATCTCAGATTAATAGTTAATTACAAACTTAAAAGATTAGTTGATTTAGTAGGGTTGGGCCGATGGACGATATCGCTTTTATTTTTAAATATTTACAAACTTGCTTACCATCTCATCCACTATATTCTATTCCGATTCTCAAATATGTGTAACTGGGTTTATTTTGCCGTTTAAAAAAAACTTTATAAATGATCTTGATCTGTAACGTGAGATGGGCCGCAGTTCAGAGATTTCTGTCTGTTGGATTTATTACAGCGCATGAATTCGTCAGTTTCTCCCAATCCACTTAAGTGGCCGGTGAACTGGGAGAAAAATAGAGTTGACTTTTTAGTTATTTACACTGTCTCTCTGATATCATTAAAAACCGTCATCAAATATATTTGAATGGGATGTTATTGCTGCTTCCAGACGCCATTGTGTATTTTACAAACTATAAATATTGTTTTGCTATTAATTATATGTATTTAAATGTCTGAAACCTAAAATAAACATTATTAAAAACACTGAACAGTTGTGATCTAGCCTATGACAAAAGCGATGAGCGCGAAAGTTTGCAGTTTGAATCTGGCAGATATGTCATGTCACTGTACATTCACTCTTCTGTACGTTCACACCGCTGCTCATGTCGTGAAAGAAGCTCTAACCGCCTTGTCAAGGACGCTTGTCAAAAAGTATGGGGAAGCTTGTTGATGCGTTGAACGCTCTGGCATCGGAGGGGGAATAGAAGTGTCACAATATGAAATGTAATAAACAGAAAAAATAAGCAATACCTTCATAATGACAGCAATTTTATAACCATTTTGGTCACATTTGGTCGGGGAAAAAGTTAGCTATTATTATTATTTGCATTAGGCCATAAATGCAATTGGTCAAATCGGTGTCACCGTGAACAAATGAATTGCATTCCCGCTTTAAAACGAGCGTTTGTAAATATTTCAAATTAAAGTTGCGCTCATGCGGTCCCTATATGCTGATTTCACGCAGCCACCATTTTGAATAGAGTGCCAAAGTTACGACGTCACTCTGTAGGCCAAAACGCGGAAGTGAGTTAGCATTTTAGCACTACCGCAGAACTTGCCGCTGAACCGCGTCATAGCTCATTACCATAAAGTTTAGCTTTTTTCAACTTTCTGATTGACGCTCAAAACGCGACTTCCAGCAGCTTTGGAAGCCCAAGTCAGCGGCGGTGTGAACGTACAGTTAGTGCTCACCCAGCAAACACAGAATGTTTCCCTAACGTTCCCGAATGGTCCCATGAGGTTATTTTTCTGGGAACCAAACAAGAACGTTATAGGAACGTTCCATGTAGGTTATTTTTAGGTTCCATTTTTATAACGTAAGGAGAATGTTCCGGGAACGTTCCCTTAACCTCAAGGGAAAGTTCAAGGAACGTTATAGGAACCAAAAACTAACGTTCCCAGAACCTAGATTTGTTTGCTGGGCAGCTGCTGCTAAGCGTGCCAAAATCGAAATTGCTGATGAGGAAAATATCTTGTGGAAAATAAGAATATTATGAAAAAATCGCTTCCTCCCAATTCCCCAAATCACCCAACCCTAATCTTTAGTGAATGTTTTAGTATAAAAACAGGTGCTATTACACTCCCATGTAATTAATGTTTTCAAAAAACTGTTATTTACTGACCTCTTCAGCATATGCTCGACCAATCCCTGATGTCGCTCCAGTTACAACTGTGGAAGATGGGAAAGTTTTGTGAAATTTGCCAATTTGAAACATCGCACCCTTTTGGTCTTCTACTGTCAATTATCCTTAGATCACCCACATTTAACCATTATCATTGTTTTTCAATAGTATCAGATGTTTAAAGGTGTTTAATTATGCCTAGTCAAATTTTAAGTAATTTTAAGTAAATAAGAAAAAGACATGGCAATGATGAGTTTCTGGCTGTGCTGATGCCCTGAGCAGAATGAGTACTGTAATGTTCAACGAATGCAAATGTACACCCCTGCAGAAAAACATTGCTAAGCAGGTCACAAGCACATGTTGCATTTTTGACACTATGTTGGTGTGACGCCCCTTCATGCTGTTTAACCGCAAACATCTGTCCTGCTCCAGCAAGACCCTGCTGCCTCACTTGCCTGCCAGACTCCCTATGGTCCACCAGCTCATCAGAACGGTTTTGCTGGATAAATGGTCCACCAGCTGAACCAGCAGAAAACATGTGCTGAGCGGTACAAACCGGCATGGACCAGCACAAAATTCATGTTGCTAACAGATTTTTTAGGTAATCAGTTTTTTTAGTCTAACAGTCTAAAGTTAGTTTAGGCAGCTTATAGACAAGTCATTTCCCTGACTGATTTAAAATGTTCAAAAATGTCACAAATTTAGTTAAAAAACTTCACAAATGCAGTGGTGAATTCTTCGTGACTTTATGGCAATCCATTTAAATGTGTATTTCTTAACACTAAGTACGTTTTAATTATTAGTAGCTATGTAATGTCATAGTAATTCATATATTTTCCAGTTTTACTTATTTCAAAAGTAGTGAATTAAATTGTCATCAATTCAGTTGGACACTTGTAGATATTCATAAAAAGAAAAGATATGCCTAGGAGTAGGCTAACAATTTAGAAATATATTATAGGCTAGTGTATAAATATTGTATCTAATAAATAGAAACAAAAGTACCTAAATGTGTTATTTGTACTGAACATTTGGTAGCTATTGTGACGCTAAAATAGATTTGTGAAGGGAATAAATGTTACAACCGCTTGCCAAAGCGGGATTATACGTAGCTATTATTAGTTGTAATTATTCCTTCCAATGTATTGCATCAACGAAACAACGCATTTTGTATAATTACAGAATGAGAAAGGAACCCACTCCGCAGCTGAGGAACGACTTACCAGCCCACTGGCCATATGTCCTCAAGTCCGTTTGCCAGATCTCAGAGATCATGTACGCCTTGAATCCGTGCCAACACAGCCAAGACCACCTCAGCAGGAAATATACAACTGTAAGGAAACCAATGCAACACAACACCATTGAAGAACAGCTGCTCTCTGAAATGTCTCCCATCTTACTTCTTTACAACTACGCGTTTGTGTCACACTTATACACTAAATATATGGTCCAGAGTTAAGGGTTGGGGAACTCACACTTACACATATGGATGCTCCTCCCATTTGCGCTTGAGGTCTAGCCGTCATTGGTTGGCAGTGGCCAGGCTTATAGGACATTCATTGTGTCAATGAAATGGAACAGCAGATCCTCGAAAATGTAAACGCCTCCAAACAAACGCATGTAGCTCGTGTTAAAAGGTGATATGTCCATGCTACTCTGTCTTCACATATCCAATTATGTTGATCCTCTTGAATAAGTGCTATGTTTGCAATATGAATCGATAAATGAATGTCATGTGTTGGGTTCGACCTGCCATCCTATCCCGTCTGAATGACAAACTGTTTGAACAATTTATTATTGAAATTTCTGAATTCGTTGCCACAACTACCGTTGTCTGGATGTAGGACTAGGAGTACGTATGAAATACTAGAAATATTCTTATAGGCCTATAGGCTAATTAGGAGGACGTACTGACGACGTTGTGAGTTGGTAATATGAAATTACGAGCATGCGACGTTGTAATCAGTTACATTGTCAATTAGTAAAGTCATGATGTGTCCTAAAGTAGAATACAGCTGTTACGTGGTGGGTATATAGGCTAGTTCATCTTAGCCATCACAGAACGTAGGCCTATTGCATTTTAAAATTAATCAATTATTCCAAACTTTTCACCGCATTGGTTTGTGCCACAACAGGTAAATGTAGGCTACTGAGAACGATGCTATCACTTTTCCCTGTCACATTAAGAGGGAATGCGCGTTACGTCACCGTCGGCCGGCGTGCCTGCAGTTACTCATAGTGAGTGGCAAAAAGACTGAGCGGCTGTATATGTGTTCAGCGTGAATACCGCGAAAAACAAACACAACACACACAAATAAAGTGGGAAAGAGCTTTGCGATTGACTGTAGGCCTACAACTAGATTTGACAAAACATCGGAGGTATATTTTTACAGACTGCTATGGAAAGAGGAGCAAATGGATCGTGCAATTCACAGAAACAACTGGACTCCAGTCAGCCAAAGGTGGAGTTATCATTTTGTGTCAATATGCTGAATTTAGCTGTAAAACCATACCCGTATATTTTGTATTGTTATATACATTAACAGCTCATCAATTAAATATTTATCATTGCATATTCTGCATTATTGGATGTTTTTTTTAATAAACACTGACCAAAAAACGTTTTAGAGCTGGACGATATGATATATAACACTGATATAAGTGATCACCCGGATTTAGACCTACCTATATTATATTTATATAAAGCGTTCACATGCAAATTTGCTTTATGTTTAGGTCTTGATTTTATTTCCCCGGTGTCGAAATCAGGCAATAATTGTCAGGCAACACGATTCCTGGTTGCATGTCAATATCCATGGATCACTGGATCTTTGGTAAGTTGTAAGGAACACTATATTGAGTCCAACATTTAGTTTAAATTGATAAAATTGTTCGATTTAGTCGCATTTCCGCAGTTGTCCCCTATTGAATCCAGTCACGCAGCAGATCTTTTGCCACTCGGTCAGGCTGAGGGGGGTTGTCACGCGGGAAAGTCACGTGTCAATGCATTCCCTCTATAGCTGACAAAGTAACGCACCTCGAACAGACCTCGAACCTTTTTGTATGTTTTATCTCTATGTTGTTGGTTATTTAACTTTCATGTCATGGATCCGATTCATCAGAAGTAGAGGATGACACTGGAGTGGATTTTCAAACCTCGCCCGTCCCACTCCCACGAAAAAACATCCAATCCCATCCCAATCCCGTAAGAATGACTCCTATTCCCTCCCACTCCCGTGTTGTTTTTTTAGACCGGAATCTGTCGCTCGCTTTCCCTCTCTGCCTTGTGTGCGTGTCCGCGGCTCCGCGCGCAAGGCGCTTGAAGCTCAAGCCATTTCTCAATACTGTAATGTTTGCTCACTGGCTAAAACATTTTTATAGAATAACTGGATCGGACACAGACTCTTAGAACTGTCCACTTCCTTTATTCACATCCTAGCAATCCGCAATGACAACACTAAGTCTCGCGATTCTCGTGAAGCTCGCGGGACTTGCCACAGGGCTACGGTGTCCCTTTTGGGACATACAGTCAGGATGTTACATCTCCCTTCTTAAGAAACAAATGGCATTACATAGCACACATAACATTAATTCCGTGAACATAACAATTGTGCTTAATGCATATAAGCATTCTGAAAAATGCAGTCTGTGGTCATCATTTGTTCTATTGCAGTAATGTAAACAAATACTGGCAGCATTTAAATGAAATAAGATGTGTACATGTCATTACTTTTACGATCAGAAACAATGTTTTGATGTTTTGTATGATTCGAGTAACTTGGAGGTGAAATAGTTGTGAAAAAGACAGAACAGGCAGTAAAACTGATTTCACAGTATTTCAGAGGTTTCGGGTAAGTAACAAGTTTGTAAACACATTTTTTTCACAATTCAGTAAACACATTTTCTTTCCACATTTCACATTTTCCTTTTAGGGCAGCGATCCGCCTACACCCTTTACATTACAAGTCAAGGACTTGTCTTGGTCTGGAGATGCGGCCAAACCGTGTTGTGTAATTGGGCTTTTGTTGGTTTGTTGGTTGCGGGTGGTCCGCAGGTTCAGCTTGTGGTGGCTGTGTGTTATTGGTGTGTGTTTCTGCATGCGGTGTGTCTTTAGTGTCTGGAGCATTTCTGCTTTCGCGGAGGTGCCAACGGTTGCGTCGTAGTGTTTGTCCATCTTCTGTCTGGATGTGGTAGCTTCTATGTGTGTGTGCATGTTGTGTTACCGTTGCAGGTCTCCATGAACCATCCTCTTGACGGAAACGAATGGGTGTGCCAGCGGAAAGGTGAGACAATGGCCTGGTGCCTCTGTCGAAGTATGCTTGTTGGCGGCGTTGGCACGCCTTTCGTCTGTCTTGGATAGCTTTCTGGGGTGCTACCTTTGGCTGCAGGTGCCTACTGGTCGCTGGGAGTATGGAACGTAGTCGTCGGCTCATCAGAAGCTGGGCCGGTGACTGAAGGTTGTCTACTGGGGTGTTCCTGTACTCCAGCAGGGCGAGGTAGGGGTCTGTGTTTCCGGCTTTTGCCTTGTCCAGGATGCGCTTTGCTGTCTGGACGGTCTTTTCAGCAAGGCCGTTGCTCTGTGGGTAGCGTGGACTTGTGGTGGTGTGGGTGAAGTTCCACGCATTTGCGAAGCAGCGAAACTCCTCAGAGCTGTAGCACGATCCGTTGTCACTGATGACTGTCTCTGCGATGCCGTGACGGGCGAACGCAGACTTGAGTTTGGCGATTACTGCACGTGAGGTGCAGCTTGTGAGTTGCTCCATTTCAAAGAATCTACTGTAGTAGTCTACAATGACGATGAAGTTTTGAGTGTTCCATGTGAAGAGGTCTGTGCCTACCACTTGCCATGGTCTCTCGGGTATGTCATGTGACCACAGGGGTTCTTTTGGGTTGGCATCACGTCGTTCTTGGCATATACAGCACTGTTCTACTATGGCTTCTATTTGTTTTCCCATTCTAGGCCAAAACAGGAGGTCTCGTGCTCTATGCTTGCTTTTCTCTACTCCCATGTGTCCTGCGTGTATGCGCTGGAGCATGTCTCCTCTGAGGCTCTGGGGAACTATGATTTTCTCTCCTTTGAAGAGTATTCCATCCATCTCAGAAATTTCATCTCGGTGGTTCCAATACTCCTGGATGTCAAACGGGCATTTCCTCCTTTCGTCGGGCCATCCGTTCTGTGTGACTTTTCGGAGTGTAGCGAGCTGTGCATCTTGTGCTGTTGCATCTTTGATCTCCACTAGCTTGCTGTCACTCACTGGAACAGTACTTATGAGTGTATGTACCTGTGCTTCCATGCTTTCCATGAGGCTGCGGTCTTGGTGCTCAATGGATTTCCGGGACAGGGTGTCGGCCACTGGGATGTCCTTTCCGGGCCGGTGGATGATGTGGATGTTATATTTCTGAAGCTGTAGTATCATCCTCTGTAGTCGCGGTGGTGCTGCAGCCAGCGGTTTTCGGAGGATTGCTTCCAGAGGTTTGTGGTCAGATTCTACAATCACACTACGGCCATACATGTATTCGTGGAAACGCTTACAGCCGAATAAAACTGCATATAGCTCCTTTTCTATTTGGGCGTAGTTCACTTCGGTGCTGTTTAGTGATTTGGAGGCATAGGCAATGGGTTTACCGTCCTGGAGGATGACAGCACCGAGGCCGCATTTTGAGGCATCTACTTGGAGTCTGAGTTCTTTTCGTGGGTCAAAGTATGCGAGCACAGGGTGATCTGTTATCAGTTTTTTCGTCTGTGTGAATGCTTTGTCGTGGTTTTTGTCCCATAAAAATTCAATGTCCTGCTTTAGCAGTTGGCGTAGTGGTGCGTTTATCTCAGAGAGGCGTGGTGCGAATCTGGCCAAATAGTTAATCATCCCAAGGATGGTTTCCAACTCCCCTTTGCTTGTGGGTGGCTGCATTTCTTGTATCGCTTTCACCTTCGCCGGGTCTGGCTTGACGCCTTCTCGTGAGAGCGTGTGACCGAAGTAGCTGACCTCTGATACGCATATTTGGCATTTGTCGGGATTTAGCTTTACCCCTCTTTCTCTTGTGCGCTTCAGCATGGCCTTGAGGTTGTTGTCGTGTTCAAGCTTTGTCTTACCGAAGACGAGTATGTCGTCGACGATGGCAGCTACACCTGTGAGGCCTTCATATGTCTCGTCGACGCGCCTTTGGAATTCGTCTTGGGCTGAGTTGATCCCGAATGGTAGCCTCAGGAACCTGTATCTGCCGAAAGGGGTATTAAATGTTGTTAACAGGGAGGACGCTGTGCTCAGCTTTATGGCCCAATAGCCTGATCTGGCATCGAGGACGCTGAAGTACTGCGCTCCGGCGAGCTTTGTGGTGACATCTTCTAGAGTCGGCAAGGGGTAGTGGGGCCTTTTTATTGCCTTGTTGAGGTCCCTGGGGTCCAGGCAGACTCTCAGCTTGCCAGTCTGGGGTTTTTCGACGACTACGAGGGCGTTAACCCATTCTGTGG